GCAGGAGAAGACGTTATCCCCTGGAGGGTTGGGATTGAGACTTCCAGGGTGCATAAGGTGGGTCCCCACCTTTCACGACGACGTCCGGGTCCTCCTCAGGCGGCCCCTTCTCCGGGATGAGGCTCCGTGTCTCCTCCCAGCTCTGCAGCCTGGGCCAGAGGGGAGGGAGGGTTGGGCGAGGCTGTCGGTCCCGCACCCCGCCTCCAGGGGGCTCCTCAGTCGGGGCTCCCCAGACCGCGAGGGGAGCCTGCTCCTGTCCTGGACACCCCTCCCCCAGGCTGTGGGAACCGCTGGGCCGTTCTGACCTCGCACCAGAAATAGCCCAGACCCCCCCTTTCTCCCCGCGCCCCCAGTCGGACCGCCCCCCCGGGACCCCGGCCAAACCACAGCGTCCGGCGTAAGGCCTCTCCCTTATTGCACAACTGCGGGAGGGAAGACGGCAAGGATTGGGGTCCCGGGAACAGGCTGGGGGCTTCATACCCTGAGAAGCAGGGGCCGAGCTCACCTGTCTGAGACCGGCCCGCTCCTCACCGGCTGAGTGAGCGTCACGTCCAGGGGGCCCTGGGGAAACAGGCGGGGGCAGCCCTCAGGATCACAGCCGTCAGCGTAGGATGCCCGTGGCTTCTGCCCCCCGGATAGCGCTGCTCAGGGAATTGAGGGATCAAGGAGTGGGGTCGTGACTGTGAGGGAGAGAGCTGAAGCCAGGAGGTAGCCCCTTCTGCCAATCTCTACAGAACAGCCCCAGCTAAGAAGTCAAGGCTCCCGCCTTGTCTCTGTTTCCCTTTGAAGATTTAAATCAGGGCTGGATACGGTGGAAAGAGCACTGTGCAGGGAGTCCAGTCGGGAGACCTGGGTTCTAGTAACAGTCTGACCACTAACTCGAACCACTAACTGGCTGTGGAAGCTTCACAGATCCTCTCAGTCTTTGGGCCCTAGCTTCCCCATCTTCAAAAAGAGAGAGGTGGATGGAGCTCCTTCTTGTTGGGAGTCACCCCCTCCTCCTCATTTTCCCTTCATTAGCTGGCAGACAGGCAGGTGGTGGGCACAGAGGTGGATGAAGGGAAGAGGGACTCCTTTAGTGTATGGCTTTCTCCAAGAACATCTTATGCCCTCCCACAGGCACCCCTGAAACTCAACGGTATGCAGAGACCCTCCCCCTTTGCTAGGGCTCAGGAAGGGCAGGCTGAAAAATGGCACACACTCTTCAGGGGAGGTACCGTTCAGGATTTTGCCCTTCTCCCCCCTGCCCTGGAACTTCAACAGGAGACTGGGGTCTGAGAAAGTCCAAAAACCCGTCCAGGAGCCAGGTCAGGCAGGAACTGTGCCATGGTCCCATTGCGCCCAGACTGTTAAAGCCAGGACGGGGAGGTGGGGGAGGGGGGACAGGGACACCTGTCCCCAAGCTCGGGGGAGGGGGGTGGAGGTGGAGCATGAGGGAGGCAATGGCGTGATTCACAGAGCAGGTCCTGCCCAGGCTGGAAGCTTGGGGACGCCTGGGTCCTGTGCCTTCCTGGGACGCAGATCCACCTCTTTTCTGGAGGGTCCAAGAGGAGTTCTCAGCCACACCACCGCGGGGGCAGGTGCTGACCACTCTCTTAGACCAAGTCTCCTAATCGCAGTCCCCTGCTTCCCTCCCTCCACCCCCCTCTATATTTATCCGCCCTCCGCCTCCGCCAGGTGCTGGCGCCGGCCCCAGCGGCGCAGCCCGCCCCACCCGGGCACCGAGCCACCGGGCCTGCTGGGGACCCCTGAGCGGGGGATGGGAGCCTGACCCAGGCCATAGCACACGGGAGTCTGGTTGCGGGTGTGCAGGGGAATCCGGGAGGGGACCTCAGGGGATGGAGGTCTTCCAGACCAATCGAGCCTCAGTTTCCCCACGGGGAGATTCCACAAAACCGGGGAGCCAAGTGTCCCTCACCATCCCCTCAGGGATTCCCCAGGAGCCTCACCAGGGAGGGCTGTGAGTTCTGTCTTGAGTGGCAGGGTAATGACGAGGGGTCCTCGAAGAGTCGTGGCCCCCAGCTCCCTCTCCGTGGGGTCCCTGCCACGGACCCCAATCTGAGGATGCCTTCTCCCCCTCTCCCAGGTCCCCGCGGCGGGAGCTCCGGCATCTGGCCCCAGCACTCAGCGCTCACGAACTGGGAGCGGAGCGAACCCAGGCGTCCGAGCCGCCCAGCCGGCCTCGCCACATTCCTCGGCGCTGGCGGAGGCGGAAGGAGACGGGATGGGACGCGGGCCCGGCGGGGAAGGGAGAGGCAGGGCCAGGTCGCGCCACGCGTGACGCCTCCCCTGCCTCGGGGCCCCTAGCAGGTGGACAGCGCCCAGCATGTGGCGCGAGGCCCACAGGCACATCCCGAGTAGGGCTGCTCCTTGAGTTCCCGGGGGCTCCTGGCCCCCCAGGCAAAAACCTCTCCCACGTCCCCGTCCGCCAAGAGCACGGCATTTGGCTGGAGTCTGGAGCAGGATCAGACGTGACGGCCGCTTGTAGTGAGAGAGATTGAGACAAGGCTCCAAACCCCCAGGGACTTACCCTCCCGCCGCCCGCTGGACTCGGGGTCCGCAGCTCAAAGGTCTCCTCGTCCTCGTCCTCGTCCCCGTCCCCGCTAAGCTCGCCGTCCCCGTAGTCCCGGTGCAGAAGAGTAAAGCCTCGACGGCAGCAGAGGAGCCACCACAATCCCCCGGGGAGAGGCATCCGGGCGAGCAGCCGGGGGATGGGGGCGCGGGCAGCCGGGCCGAGCTGCAGGGGGTCGGAGAAACTGGCGGGGCTCCGACCCCAGCGGGGGAATGATGCGGCGGGAGGAGGGGAAGGGAGAGGGGGACAAGGAGGAGGCAGTGTCGGCGCTAGGGTGCAAGGGGTCGCTTGCTAGAGCCTGCGGGGGGCTCCGGGTCTGGGCCCCCGGAGGGGGAGGGGGAAAGAGTCCAGGGCTGGGGGGGGGGCAGCAATGTCCGGAGCTGGGAAGTAGTGTCCGTTGTAGTGTCCAGCCCTGTGGGGGGCAGTGTCCGGTGCAATGTCCGAGGTGGGCAGTTGTCCAAGCTCCAGGGAGGGTCGTGTCCGGTAGGGTGTCCGGTGGCCGGGGCCCGGGCCGCGCGCGCTGCGCTCCCTGCAGCCCCGGGACTGGCGCGCTAGGGGCGCGAGCACAGCGCCGGGACCCCGCCTCCCCAACCCCCTCCCCTCTGAGGCCCCCCCCCCCACCTTTCCCTCTTCTTTCTCTCCTCCCTTCTTTACAGGGCAGGGTGCAGTTTTCGTCACAGCCTCCCCTGCCCAATCCCTGTGCCTGGCGCCGGGCGCGGCCACCAATCAGGCCACTGAAACCGCGGCGGGTTGCATCATGTGCCCCTGGCTTGGTGACAGCGGGGAGGAGCAGAGGAATAAGGAGGGAGGGGGCGGTGCGATGTCAGCCACGCCCCCGTCCCCGAGGTCGGACGCGGAGTGCTAGTGATGTCACGGAAGCCCGCCTTCATGCCCTTGTTTTAACTCTTGGCTCACCAACCTACAGATTAAAACCCTCTGGAGACGGAGCTTTGGAGAACGAAGGGCATAGGGCATAGAGGAAGGCCCCGACTGCTGCTCTCTCAACTCCTGTCTCGTCTCAGGGTCCCTGAGAAAGGAAAGATCTTCAGCTGCCTGCGCCAGGCACAGCTCTAGAGGCGGCCCTCCGTCCCTGGATGGAGTAGTCCAATTTTTTGGTCTGAGTCACCTCCTTTTTAAGGTGAAGAAGCTGAGGCAGAGACTCGGGGAAGTGCAGACCCAGGTCGGAAATAAAACCTAATTTTGAGCGCACAGCTCACTGAACTCTAGTGGGGAGAGTGATTTAAGATTCAAGGGAATTCTGCGGTCTTGGAATAGAGTGGAGGCCTCTCAGGGTGAATAGCCTGAGGTTCTGTGTCAGAAGGGGTTAAGCGAGCCGCTAAAAGGACGGGGCGGGGCCGGGCCGCGGACGGGGCGGGGCCAGGGCGGTCGCGGGCGCGCGCGTGCGTTGCTGACTCAGCGGCTATTCCCGCGGTCTCCGGTGGAGGGTTCCAGGTTGGCCCCCCGTGGCTGGCTTGTAGGACCTTTGGGAGATCAGCGCCATCTCCGGGCCTTCCCCGGATCCTGTCTTCTGGTGGCGGTGGCTTTCGGTCTCAGCCGCCGGAGGCTCTAGGAAGGAAGGCTTGCCCGATCTGGGCGGGGCGGGACAGGGCGGGGACGTCGGGCCAGCGCCTCCCTTGAGACCTCCTCGCCACGCCACGCCCTTCTTGCCCCAGGTCCTCGCACTCCAGGCTGGAGTGGTCGGGGCAGCTTTGCTGACCGGATATTAAACTGCGAGAGTTGTCGCGCGTGAACACCATCCTGCCTACCGTGCTCGTGTAAAACAAAGACCAGGCATCAATGCGACCGTCTCTAGAGGCATCCCGGCCTTGCCCTCGCCCCAGATGACAGTGGCCAGCACTGAGATTTCCTGGAGATGGAGACGTTCGAACCATATACTCTCTTCCCTGTCTGGATCCCAGGCCCTTGCCTGCAGGAAAGTTCTTTCCGATGTCTAACCTCTCTCTTTCCGGCAGGCTCAGTGCATTTCCTCTGACCCTATCCCCAGGGAAGATGGAGAACGGCAGTCATCCCCAACCCCACCACGCCCATGATAACGACTCTGGAAATTTTCAAATTGGAACCCTCTCCTTGGTTTTTCTCCAAGGTGAAAAACTCCGACTCAACTTTTTCAATTACCTTTTTCTTTTTTTCTTTCCGCCACAGAACCTCAGAAGGGACCTTAAAGTGGTAATCTAATCCAAGAGCCTACCCCAAACGGGAATCTCCTGGCCACTGTCCCTGCCTACCACCACACCACGCACAGGCACACACAGTTCCCAACAGCCTTGGCCTGAACATTCCGGAGGCCAGGAACTCGGTACTTGCTAAGGCAGCCATTACTGGATAGCACTGTGGTTTGTTAGAAAGCTCTTCCTTGTGCTACTTTAAGAGGAACCCCAGCCCTCCTCGTCTGGCAGCTTTCCCACCTCACATCTTGTTCGCAGAGACCAGGTGAAGGTGGAGGGGGTGACAGTGCCTAGAGCTTCAGCAGACTCAGCAGCTCTGCACCCCCACCCAGACTCTCAGCGCCTTCCACTCACAGCCAAGCGAGTTGAAGGGGGAGGCGGAACCCACCGGTTCCAAGTCGGTGACTCAAAAATAGTAACAGTTGTTGGGTTGCATCTCATTTCCATGTTATCAATTTAATGTGGCAAAGTACAGAAGCAATTCCTTTAGATCCCTACCTCCTTCTCAGTGTTCCCCCACCTACTCCCTTTTCCCACTACCCTCCCTGGAATCCCGCCCTCCCCCCCCCCTCTTGATTCGCAGCCCTAGTAGTCCCAGGAGGAGACACTGTGGGTCTCAGTGGGAGCCGAACAGGAAGAGAGGCGGGGCGGGCGGGGGCAGCGGCCGCGGGGGTGAGGCCCTGGGCTGCAGCTTCCACCCCGCAGCAGCCTCCGCAGGTCCTGGCGGAAGCGCAGGCCCAAGAAGGCGTAGAGCACGGGGTTGAGGCCGCAGCGGGCCAGGGCCAACCCTCCGGTCACCAGCAGCGCCAGATCCTTGCGCTTGCTGGCAGGGCAGCTCCGCTCGCGGGCAGCCAGTAGGTCGGCCGTATCCAGCAGCAGGGCGAGACTGTAGGGCAGCTGCAGCACCACGAAGGCCGCCACCAGGGCCACAACGACGCGCAGCGCACGCCGGCGCTCGGGCCCCCTGGCGGCCAGCAGCGTGCGGCCCAGGAGCGCGTAACAGGCGGCCATGACGCCGAGCGGCAGCGCGAAGCCCAGGACCACCTGCGCCATGGCGCTTGCCCCCTTCACCGTCTGCGTGAGGCCCTCGGGGAAGACGAGACGGCAGCGCCGCTGGCCTTCCCGCTGCCCGTCCTGGCTGAAAAGGAGAGCAGGCAGCGCCAGAAGCAGCGACAGCAGCCACACGATGGCTGAGACCACGTGTGCGCGGCCCCGAGCAGAGGGCCTCGGTCCAGCGGGAAGGGCCCGCGCGATGGCCACGTAGCGATCGGCGCTGATACAGGCCAGGAAGAGGAAGCCGGCGTGGAAGGAGGCGGAGTAGAGGCCCGAGATGGCGCGGCAGGTGGCACTTCCCAGACTCCAGCCCTGCAGAGCCCCGGCTGCGGCAAAGGGCAGGGTTAGGGCCAGCAGAAGGTCGGCCAGGGCCAGCTGGAGCAGGTGGGCAGAAGTGGGCGAACGGACAGCACGTCGGGCTGCCAGGTGGGTGGCCAGGACCAGGCCATTGCCAGCCAGACCCAGTGCAGCCACCACCAGGGAGACACTGGGTTGGAAGGCCCTACTGAAGGCCTGGACATCCGCCTTGTAGCAGAGCTCTGGCAACGGCTCGACGGAGTATGCCTCCTCATCCTCCCCCGAGTAGGGGCCCCAGGAGACCTGGGGAGGGCAAAAGGAGAGAGACCTTATGAGACATCTTCCCACACACCTCCCCTTCCAACACATACTTTCCAAGCTGGGAGCTGCTGTGTGACAACAGTATAGAGGGAGAAGATACAAACTCTTCTCCAAACTCTTCCTAACATACCCTCCAACAGGCCTTGGCTTCCACTGCACCCCTCCTGCCTCTGCATCCAGCTTCCTGGCCGACCTTGACTTTTCTGGATCTCAGTTGCCTGATATATAATGTGGAGATTAGAAATCCTGACCAGCCCAAGTGGCACAGTTGTTTGAAATAAGGAAGATAATGGATGTGAAGCCTCTGTGCTCTCCTTAGGCCAAGGTTTCTATTATTAATAAATCTTGGAGCTTCCGTTCTGTTTGCAGCGCCCTCTCCTGGAAAGAACACCCACATGCAGGCTTTGCCTCGGAGCTGGTCCCTGGACTCCACGGCATGATGTGGAGAGGGTTTCAAAGGTCTTTTCCTTTCTCCCCTCCCCACCCCACCTCTAACCTCCAGTACAGGTACACTGAACTACTCATGACTGGGGGAGTGGGGGAGTCTCAAGGGTTACGGCTCAGGTTTTCTGGTCTCTGTTGCAACCTCGGACCTCTAGGTTCAGCTCACCATTCCCCTCAGCCCAGTCCCATCCCCCAACCCCAGCCTCACATCACCAGCCCCATCTGTCTGGAAGGTCCCTGGTCCCAGATGGCTCCAGATACCCTGGATAGGTCAAAACATGGCAGAAGTTTGTTACCAGGTGGAGAATCCCATCTCTTTGCCTTACCCTCCCTCTCCATAACCCTCCCCCCCCCAGCCCCCACTCCCACCTGCTCTGCGGGCTCCGTCCCCATCTCTGGCTACACAGGTTTCTGAAGTATAGCCACTGGGGAGAGAAGTTAAACTAGAGGGACAGGAAGGAAGGGGCGGGGAGAGGGACCAAGAGGGCGGTGGGGATGAGGGTCTGTGGGCTCTCTTTACCTAACTTTCCCATTCCACCCCCTATTTTTGTTTTCTCTTTGCCCTGCCAGTAGAAAAAGAATGGGTTTGAGAATATCATCATTTGCTAGCTACCTGTCTGATCTTGAGTAAGCTTACCTCTTTGAGCCTCAGGTTTTTCATCTGCGAAGTGGAGTAAGGTAAAAATGTCGAATTCACAGGGTTATGAGGGTGCCTAGCACAGGTGCCTGAGGCATAATTTGCCTTCAGAAAATGTTAGATTCTTTTACTTACTCTTCTCTCCATCTCCAGGTACTCACCCCCCGCTTTTCTTGGATTTTTCGGGACCTCTCCACTGGCACTAGCCTTCCTTCCCCCACCCCTGCGGCCACAGTCCCTGCCAGCCTCGGGTTATTCAGGGTATTTCCCGGCGGCTGGAGGCTCTCCACCCCCGCCCTTTCGCAGCAGGGCTGAGGCGCGCGCTTGCGCGGGGTCCGGGAAAGCGGCGCGTGCGGGGAGAGAGAGGCTGGGGAAGGGGGGAGGAGAGAGGGTGGGAAGGAGAGAGAGAGCCGCGGAGAACCTGGAACGACAGAAGAGAGAGAGAGAAGGGAGAAGGGTTGGGGGAGAGACGAGGATAGAGGAAGGGGTGAGTTAGGAGCACAGACAGCGATCCGCTGCGAACCCCAGGAGGAGAACTGGGAGCCCGAGCTGGACCTGGAGCCCTAGCCGGAGCCGGGCACTGGGAGGCGGCCGCCGAGACCCGTCAGCCCTGCACCATGTGTCTCCGGCTCCTCTGCATCCTGCTCGCCGCGGTCTCAGGAGCCCGGGGCTGGGGCTACTGTGAGTGCCGGGCTCAGGTGCAAGCAGGGTGGGGCCAGGGAGTCCAAAGCCTGCAGGGCGGGTCCAGCCGCATTGCGGCTAGGTGGTCGCGGGTCCCTTCCCTGGCTGGCGCGCGCTTGCTCGTTCCCATCCTTTCCTGCCTCTCCCCCGCGCTCCGCAATGCAGCTCCGAGGCTGGCGCGCGCTTCCGGGCTGGTGCTGGTCTCCGAGGAGCCGAGGATCCAGTCGGCCCCGGGCAGGGATTTGGGACAGGGATCCAAGCGGGAGCTGGTGCCTGGGCTTGAGGGTTGGGGATAAGGGTGGTACTGGTGATCCCAGCTGGGGTTAAGGTCTTGCCAGGGCCTGGGGCTGGGCTTGGAGCTGGCCTGGGGACTAGGGTTTGGGGCTGGGGCTGGATTTTGAGGCTGGAATCCAAGCAGGAGTTGGTGACCCTGACCGATGCTAAGGTTGGACATGAAGCTGGTGATGCTGGTATGACTGGCTGGGTTTGGGACCAAGGCCTGGATTTGGGGTTGGTGAGGGTTGGGGATGCTGATGAGTGGGATTGATGATAAGGCTTCGGCTGGATTGGTGCCTTGGGCTGACTCCGGTTCTGAAAGATGCTGAGGTTTGGGGTTGTGTTTAGGGGAGTACTAAGCCTGGGCTGGTACCGGAGCAGTCACAGAGTTAGGGAAGGTCTGGCCTAGGGGTCCCCCCAGAAGGAGAAGGCAGCCTCCCCTGAGTGTGCAGCTGTTGCTGCAGCCCAGGTTGAGCAGATGGCTTCAGTTAGTGCTGGGGTGGCTGCTGGAGAACAGAGAAGGAAGAGCTCCAGTTGCTCAGTGTGCGTGGTCTTTGGAAGGACCTGGGAGGGGCCGCGCGAACAAAATGTCTGTTTCCCCAACCTAGACGGCTGTGACGAGGAGCTGGTCGGGCCTCTGTACGCACGCTCCCTGGGCGCCTCCTCCTACTACGGGCTCTTCACCACGCCGCGCTTTGCCCGGCTGCACGGTGAGCGAGGCACCGCCCCAAGGCGTGGTGGGGTCTCCGGAGGGCTAGGGAGAGCCAGTGGTAAAAGCCCTTGCCTCTTCTATAGGCATAAGCGGATGGTCTCCCCGAATTGGGGACCCGAATCCTTGGCTCCAGATCGACTTAATGAAGAAGCACCGGATCCGAGCTGTGGCCACCCAGGGCTCGTTTAACTCGTGGGACTGGGTCACACGCTACATGCTGCTCTACGGGGACCGAGTGGACAGCTGGACGCCATTCTACCAGCAAGGGCACAATGCGGTATTCCAGGCCCCCTGTGCACACACTCGGAGAACCTCCTCAGTTCTGCATCCTAGGCTGGGCACTAGCTTGGGGGAGATGGAGGAGGTGATGGTGGGGACACACGTGAGGAGCAGTGACTTCCAATCTGGGGATTCAGTCCAGAGGGACGGTCAGCTCACCATGTGTGCAAGACTTTCTCAGATGACAGGGATTCACATACTTTAGGGTCAAATCTAGGAGAGCTTCTTGAAGGAGGGGACATCTGAGTTGAGCTTTGAGGAAATAATAGGATGGCGGGAGAGGGCACCTGTTTTTCTAAAGCCACGAGGGCCCAGGAGATCAAGGAGAGTTTCCTTTCTGGAAGTTGATATTGGCTGGGTGTGACAACTGCCCGCTGGGAGGCTGTAGAGAAACGAAGCAGAGGTGGGGACCTGGTCTCTCCGCTCCCCTTCCCCCCTCAGACCTTCTTCGGCAACGTGAACGAGTCGGCGATAGTGCGTCACGACCTGCACTACCACTTCACGGCGCGCTACATCCGCATCGTGCCGCTGGCTTGGAACCCGCGCGGCAAGATCGGCCTGAGGCTCGGCCTCTACGGCTGCCCGTACAGTACGAGTGCGGAGGTCGTGGCTGGGGGTGGCGGAGGGGAGGCTCCGGAGACAGTCTCCCCGGTCCTCGGCCCACCCACTGTCCTTCGCGCAGAGTCCGACGTGCTCTATTTCGACGGCGATGATGCCATCTCGTACCGCTTCCCGCGAGGAGTCAGCCGGAGCCTGTGGGACGTGTTCGCCTTCAGCTTCAAGACCGAAGAGAAGGACGGGCTCCTGCTGCACGCGGAGGGCGTCCAAGGCGACTACGTGACACTGGAGCTGCAGGGGGCGCACTTGCTGCTGCACATGAGCCTGGGTGAGCTCCGCCGCAAGTCGGGCGACCCCGGCGGCTCTGCGGCCACGCCCCTCGCTGCTCCGCCCCCGCCAGGCCGCGCCCACTCCCGAGCTCGCCCTTCCTTACTGTTCCGACCAAACCCACAATTTGGTGCTCGCAAAACACTGGACTCCGAGTCAGGCGATCTGGATGCCAGTCTCAGCTCCACCTACCAGTGGTGTGACCTTGGACAAGGCACTTCTCCAGTCTGTTTCCTCATTGTAGAAACCTTATATATACTTTGTGTACATATACATATAAACCCAAGAGTTGTTATTTTGTATCTCATCAGCTTTTCATAACATCCATATGATGAAGTAGAAGCAGCTAGTGGAAAACGGGGGCTCAGAGGGGTTAAATGACTTACCCTAAGTCACATACTCGCCGGTGGACCCCGGTCCATCCCAAGCTGAGGACGTCCAAGCTCTATATGCCCTGGGCCCTGTGCCAACCCTTCTCTGTGCTCCTGGCTGCTGCCTCCCCCTGGGGGCTAGGCCTCTCTGGGGCTCTCCAGGTTGTAGGTCTGACCCTGCTCCTCCGTCCCCCCAGGCAGCAGCCCCATCCAGCCCAGGCCCGGTCACACCACTGTGAGCGCTGGTGGCGTCCTCAACGACCAGCACTGGCATTATGTGCGTGTGGACCGATTTGGCCGGGAGGCAAACCTCACCCTGGACGGCTATGTGCAGCGCTTTGTGCTCAATGGTGACTTTGAGAGGCTGAACCTGGACAACGAGGTGAGCAGAGTGGTTTATTTAGTCGAGTTGGGGTGCTGGGCGGGTCCGTGGGAGACAGTGCTTTCCAGTTCCTGAATATTCTAGCAGCTCTTGGCAAACTTGCGGCTCACGGGCCTGGGTTGTTGTGGCTGTTATTGCTGTTAGCAGGCTGATTTCCTGGGCACCGCCCCCAGAACAACTGACATGGGATCTGGAAATCTGGGTTTTGGGGATCCGACAAGATGAGAAAATTGCCCCATTGGATTGCCCAACTCTGTGGCCCTGATCTGCAGATAAAGAATCCCAGACAGGTTAATTGACCTACCCAAGGGCATGCAGCCAATTTGTGGTGGAGTCAGGGCTAGCACCCAAGCCTGGGGAGGCCCAGCGAGCTTCCAGCTTTAACATCGATACTGGGGAAATGTGCCTGGGAAAGCGTGGGGCGGAGGGGAGAGAAAGTGCGCGTGCGCGTTCTGGCACCCAGGGAACCTAATCCCCCACCCCGCCCGCAGATGTACGTTGGGGGTTTGGTGGGCGCTGCGCAGAAGAACCTGGCCTATCGGCATAATTTCCGAGGTTGCATAGAAAACATAATCTTCAACCGAGTGAACATCGCAGACCTGGCCGTGCGGCGCCATTCAAGGATCACCTTCGAGGCCAGTGGGCTGGGGGATCAGGGAGGGAGGGACATCAGAGCTGCTTGGAAAGCAAAGAGAATCGGATAAAAGCCGAGGATTCTTCTCTCCCCAGCCAAATGCTCAAGTGGTGGGGTGGTGGGGGAGGCACCACGGATTCACAGGAGGTGCAAAGGTCACCCCTCCCTAACCCCCAGTTAAGAAGGTGTGGTCTGGTCTAATTAATGCTTGAGGAAAATGAGGTGCAGAGACCCCGGGGTGGCTGGGCCCGGGATCACGGAGTTGTACAGTGGTTGAGTCCGGTCTTGAACCCAGGTCTGTTTTGGTGTGGTCCCCGCCCCCCACGCCACCCCAACCCTGCAGCGAGTATTCTAGTGCCCGCCAGGAAGCCAGCAGGAAGTTGCCTCTCCAGGCTGGGAGGAAGCGAAGGAGGCGGTCGCCCTGGAGACGGTGTAAAGCCGGGATAGCCAGCAGAGAGTCCCCCAGGGCCGACTTGGTTGGAGACCCCCTCCACAGCTGGTTATGTTTGTGGGGGCTGGGAATGGTCAGAGTGGGAGGTCCCACCCCCTCCCCCGCACACACCCCGAGGGAGTGCCGTGAGGAGGGTCTTAGATCGGTCCGGAAATTGAATTCCCAGCAGAGGCAGACAGCACATTCATTCTCTTGGATGCTGATGGCCCCTTACTTCCGTCCTCAGGGTAAGGTGGCCTTCCGTTGCCTGGACCCGGTTCCTCACCCGGTCAACTTCGGAGGGCCTCACAACTTCGTGCAAGTGCCTGGCTTCCCGCGCCGAGGCCGCTTCGCCGTCTCCTTTCGCTTCCGCACCTGGGATCTCACGGGGCTGCTACTGTTCTCCCGCCTGGGGGACGGGCTGGGCCACGTGGAGCTGATGCTCAGTGAAGGGCAGATCAACGTGTCCATCGCGCAGACTGGCCGAAAGAAGCTTCAGTTTGCTGCTGGTGAGGGGTGGAGAGTGGGGGGAGGCGGGAGGCGCCAGAAGGCCAGAGAAGGGCAGAGGAGGAGCGGGTGCGGCCCGCAAGGAGGCCCCTCGCTTATTGGAGAGGGGTGGGGGGGGGGGGAAGGGAGCAGGGCAGGAGGACCCTGAGCCCTGGGGATGGGACGGAGTGGGCGGGGGTGAGGAGTCAGATCTGAGCCGCTCAGGC